CCGCAGTCGCGACTCAGGGTGAGACAGAACCGTCCGATCCAGTGCACAGATGAGAAGACTGAGGCCCAGAGAAAGAAACAGGCCCAGGAGCACGAAGCCCAGGGCAGGCCAGACACCAATCCAGATCTGATTCTCCTGCCAGTACTGGCTTAGCCGGCGCGGAGCCTGCTCCCCCCAAAGCACCCACCTGCTCCAGGCGACAGGGATGGGAACAGCATCCTGCCTCCCGGCCAGGAGAGGGGACCTGGGCCAGGAGGCAGAGATCTTGCTGGAAGGGAAGGGCAGGCCCTCTGCCCTCTCATTCACAGCCACCTGCAAACAATAGGTGCTCAATAAATGCTGGGTGCGCATTGGCTGGTGGCGGCAGCAGTTTAAGCGTTAATGAGATGGTCAGTCCCTCCCTCCTCTTACTAGCTGGGCGCAGCTGAGGACACACATCAGCTGGGAGAGGGCTGGACCACCCGGGGCTTGCTGGTGTTTAGATTAGGGAAGACAAAGGGTGGGTCCGGGAACTCCAGCCTGGGAGGCAGACGGGGGTCAGCGCCTGTTTGGGAGCCTGCCCAGAGTGGCCCACGCTCCTCTGCGGAGGGCAGATGGCGATAAGCTAGATGAGGTCAGGACAGGCTGCTCAGGGGCGCTTTCCCAGAACCGAACTCTGGCTCCCGGGCCAGCTGGAGTGACCTCCCCTCCCCAGGCCCCCCTGCTCTGTCCTGCAGCCCGGTGCTGGATGGACTTTTCCAGATTGGGTCAGTGATTTTGTTTGCTTTCACCTGCTGCAGACTGCAGAGAGAGGGCTGTATGCGAGGGCAGGGCCAGGTCTGCGGTGGTAACTTTCCAACAGGATCTCTGAGCTCTGGGACTTTAGCTTGGGGTTCACCGATGGCTTTCTGGGGTCCATGAAGGGCCTCCTCCCCCATTACAGGCAAACTTGCATGTCTCCATTTTTCTGGGAAGAAGGGTTCTAGCTTCTAGCAGATTCTTCTCAAAGGAGGCTGTGACCAAAAAGATTCAGGCTGATGTTCCACAACTTTGTTACAGAAGTGGATCTGGGGACCCCGGAATGGGGAAGAGAGATTGGCTCAAGGTCACTTGAGGATTTAGCAGCAAATTGGAAGGAAGAACCTAAGTCTCTGGACTTCCTGTCTAATGCTATTTAAGGTCAGAGTAAACATCACCTCCTCCAAGAAGCCTCTCCAGAATTCACCCCATCTTCCTCTGTGTTCCTTTGCCCAGACCTTCACAGGACACCTCATATCACAATTAGCCTCTTAAGTGAAACCTGTCCCTGCTAGAGTGAGACATCCATGAGGTCAGGGACTGTGTTGTGTCTATCTTGGTGTGGTGTGGCTGGTGCTCATTACATAAGGGTGTCATTTATTGAGTGTCTATTATGTGCCAAGCACTTACATAATACCACTCTTCACAATTGCCTCACAAGGTAGGTAATATTGTCCTCGTTTTACACATGCGGGGGAAAAAGAAACTCCTGAAGCTCAGAGAGGTTGAGTGGCTTGCTCAAGTTCCCACAGGGAGTAAGTGGCAGAGCTGGCATTCGAGTCCCAAATTCCGTTGTACCTCCCACAACACCATGCTGCCTCTGTGTTTATTGAGTGACTAATGGATGGCAGCCAGCTGAGGAGTCCTATCTGGTCTAAGGAGTCAGGGTGATGTTTCGATCCCTCCCTGAAGGATCTATAGGTCTTAATATGGCTAAGCCAGGTAGAAGGAAGAAGGTTTAAGGCAGAGGGAACAGGGAGGTGCAGAGGCCCAGAGGTGGGAGAGGGCTGGGTATGTCAGAGCAACACAAAGGAGACGGGGTGACCGCTGAGAATGGACAGGTGTGGGCGTGGGGCCAGGTGATCACAGATTCCTGGGCCTTGCCCTGATATTCACATTCAGCTGGAGTCGAGTGGGGCCTGGGCGTTTCTGGGCGAGATGAGTCGCCCACCTGGGAGGGCTGGGTCTCACTCTGGATGCACGTGAGCATCTGTGGCGTGCTTAAAAATTGCCCACGTCCAAGCTCCACCCTCAGAAATTGCTGTAGTTGGCCTGGGGGGTGGGGGAGGGTCCCTGTATCAGTAGTTTCTGGACAATGGTTCTTTTCCTGGATTTGAGGGGTTGAAACTGAGAGGGTTGAGTCAGCCCATCTCTAAGCTGGTGGGCTAGTAAGTAATACGTGATATTGTGAGTTCTCAGGGCCCATTTAGAGCCATCCACTTACTCATTCAATCAGACAGTGTTTATTGTGCACCTACTATGTGCCAGACATTGTTCTAGGCTCTGAGGATACAATGGGGAACAAAAGACATAGAAATCCTTGCTCTCTTGGAGCTGACATTCTAAAGGGGGGGAGACAGATAGTAAACAAATACATAAGTCAAATAAATAGTGCATCACAAAATGTAAGTGCTGTGTAGAAAAATAAAGTCCTCTTAAACGTTACTCGTGGGGATGTGAGTTGGTACAACCATGTTGGAAAACAATGTGGCTTTATCAGTTAAGCACGTGCATAACCTGTGGTTCATTGATTCTGCTCCAAAGTATGCACTCCGGAGAAATTCTTGCCCGTTTGCAACAGAAGCCACCTAGAAGGATGTTTATAGCAGCTCTTCTCAGTGGCTCAAACTGGCAAACGACCCAAATGCCCATCCGCGGGAGACCAAACGAATAAACGATGGTTTAATTTCCACCGTGAAGTATTGCACGGCACTCAAAACGAAGGGACTTTATAGCCACGCACCACAATTATGGATGGATCTGAAACAGAATATTCAACGAAGAATGTCCCGATACATAAACATGATTCCTTTCTTACAAAGTTAGAGGCAACTAAAATTATAGACACACATATGTGACAATAAACCGTATGAAATTCAGGATGAGGAGTACCGTGGGGAAATGTGACGCCGGCGCTTGGGGGACCATATGGCCAGATGTAAGTCATTGTCAAGATCCTAGCCTTGGTTTTGGTTGGTGGTTCCACAGGTGTTTATTACATTCTTAAAATTAACTAATTACAAGCTGATGAGAGTGTTATGCACCAAGGATTATGATTAACTTATTTTTTGGGGGGCACCGAGGTTAAAGAAAAAAAAGCAAGAAAGTAGGGAGGGACTAGGTGATGCTGGGGGAGGGCGCAGTTACAACTTTAATCAGCTGGTCAGGGAAGGTGCCACTGAGGTGACATCGGAGCCAAGACTTGAAGGGAGGAGATCTGAGGGAAAGTGTGCCAGGTGGAGGGTGCAGCATGTGCAAAGGCCCTGAGGTGGGAGGGTGGTTGGCATGCTCTAGGAGTGGCAGGGACGTCAGGGGCTGGCGGAAGTGGCTGTGGGCACATGTGAAACAGACTTAGGGTGGGGGAGGGAGAGATATGGGGTGAGAGGAGGAGAGGGAGGATATTCCCGGGTTTCTCAAGGGGTCCAGATCCCCAATCTGCTCTTCTCAGCAATTGGCTGTTCAACTTTTCCTCGGATTGCATGCGACACCCCAGTTTCCCTGAGGTGGCCTAATCGGGTTTCTAGTATTTGTCACCCAGTGAATCCTACCTGGTTACATCACTGACCCTGTGGCCGGAAGATCACGGTGCCGGTTTCTTCTGGAGACGTTTCCTAGAAGAAAGTGCAACTGGACAGAGGGTGCAGGTGTATTAATAGCAGAAAACTGCTGGGAGACAGGAGGGGACCCAGGGCCACGGAATAGCAATTA